AGGCGGTGAGCAGCACAGCGGGGGGCTGGGGGGCCTCCAGGGAAAGGGGGGGTCCAAGGGCAAGGGAGCGACTTGGGGACGGGCTGTGGGAGAGAACGTGGTGGCCTGTGCCTGCGTCGGGACAGAAGGACGGCCGAGCAGGGCTGAGGCTGGAAGCAGGGCTTGGACCTCAGGCAGGGACATCCCATCCTGGCTGGGGCTGGGGTGGGGCAGCAGCTGGAGCCACAGCGAGCCCTGGGGCGGTTGCTGCCACTTATTTGTCCTTCCCGGCACCCCATATCCGCAACTGGGGTCTCGGGAAACAGGGACTACGTCCCAAGACCGACTTGTTAAAAACCGTGGTTCAATCAGCTCCTACATGGCAAGTAGGGCTTAGACGTGAGGTTGGAGCTTAGAATGTGACGGCGGGACGAGGAATGCGACATGGAACTCAAGAAGCCCAGCCTGGAGCCAGAAAGCTCGGGGGTGGGGGGGCTGGGGGAGTGGAATTCGACCCCTGGGAGAGGGAGATGGAATTCTGGCCCCGGAGCCGGCCGGAGGATGGGGAGACTGGAGCAGACAATGCGGGAGCTGTGCAGCCCCCCAGGGGCGGCTTGGTGAAATGATTGTGATCGGACTAAGGCTGTCACAGACAGGGGCCAGGGCGAGGCTTGGGGATCCTGGGCCCGGGCGCAGCCGGAGCTGGGCTCCGGGGCGGGGGGGAGGGGACCGTCCTCCTCCGCTGTTGATTGACAGTTTCTTCCTCCCAAGACTGACCAACCGCAGGCGGGAAGATGAAGGTGTGGTGGGCTGTGTTGGCGGCGGCGATCCTGGCAGGTATGGGGGCGGGGCTTTCTCGGGTTCCCCTGCTGCGCGGCCCCTGCCCGCACTCCAGCCCCCTGTCCTGGGGAGGAGGCGCGCCGAGCTGAGACCTCTGAGGCCTGCTGCGGTTCTGAGCCGCTGTTTCTCCCCCGGGCCTCGGCTTTCCCCACCCATAAAATGGGCGTTGAAGTTCCTAATGCACACAAGGCCCATCAGTGTTTGCCGACTGAGCGGAGACCCCACCCGCTTCTGCCCCCGCGGCCCGAACCCCGCACGGCCCCTGACCACTTTGCTCCCGCACAGGATGCCGGGCCGACACGGAGCAGGAGGTGGAGGTGCCGGAGCAGGCCAGGTGGAAGGCCGGCCAGCCCTGGGAGCTGGCCCTGGGCCGCTTCTGGGATTACCTGCGCTGGGTACAGTCGCTGTCTGATCAGGTGCAGGAGGAGCTGCTCAGCTCGCAGGTCACCCAGGAACTGACGTGAGTGTCCCCGCCCTGACCCGGAGCCTCCTGGGGGGCGGCGGGGGGCGCCTCTGCACCCTCGGCCAGTCTAGATGCCTTTGCGTCCTTGGGGTCCGGGGCCCTGCTCCTGCGTCCTCTTCCCACTCCTGACTCCGGTTTGACCTCTCCGGCTGTCTCGCACCTTCCCAAGCCCCCTCCTCCTCGCCGGCTCCTCTGGGCCTCGCTTGGTCCTTGGGGCCCCTTGGTCGCTGCCAGCGTGCACCCAGCCCTGGCTCCCCAGCTCACGCCCGCCCTCCCGCCCCCCTGGGCCCCGCAGGATGCTGATGGAAGAAACCATGAAGGAGGTGAAGGCCTACAAGTCGGAGCTGGAGGAGCAGCTGAGCCCCATGGCGCAGGAGACGCGGGCGCGCGTGTCCAAGGAGCTGCAGGCTGCGCAGGCGCGCCTGGAGGCCGACATGGAGGACGTCTGCAACCGCCTGGCGCAGTACCGCGGCGAGGCGCAGGCCATGCTGGGCCAGAGCACCGAGGAGCTGCGCGCGCGCTTCTCCTCGCACCTGCGCAAACTGCGCAAGCGGCTGCTGCGCGACGCCGAGGACCTGCAGAAGCGCATGGCGGTGTACGGCGCCGGGGCCCGCGAAGGCGCCGAGCGCGGCGTGAGCGCCATCCGCGAGCGCCTCGGGCCGCTGTTGGAGCAGGGCCGCCTGCGGGCCGCCACCGTGAGCACCCTGGCCGGCCAGCCGCTGCGGGAGCGCGCGCAGGCCTGGGGCGAGCGGCTGCGCGGGCACCTGGAGGAGGTGGGCAGCCGCGCGCGCGACCGCCTGGACGAGGTGCGCGAGCAGGTGGAGGAGGTGCGGGTGAAGGTGGAGGAGCAGGCCGCGCAGATGCGCCTGCAGGCCGAGGCCTTCCAGGCCCGCCTCAAGAGCTGGTTCGAGCCGCTGGTGGAAGACATGCAGCGCCAGTGGGCCGGGCTGGTGGAGAAGCTGCAGGCCGCCATGCCCAGCAAGGCGCCCGCGGCGGCGCCCAGCGAGAACCAGTGAGCGCCTCGCGGGCCGCCCCCGCCCCGCGCGCCCCGCCTCCCCGCCCCGGTGGACGCCCCCCCTTAATAAAATTCACCACCTCCACAGCAGCTGCTGGGTCTCCGCGTGATTCCTCCCATGGGGCTCAGCCTCCTTTTTTTTTTTTTTTTTTTTTTTAAGATGCACTACTGGAAAGAGTGACAGACACAGAGAGCTTTCCATCCACTGGGTCACTCCCCAAAATGCCCACCACTGCCAAAGTTGAGCCAGGCGGGAGCCAGGAGCCTGCATCCGGGTCTCCCACATGGGTGCAGGGGCCTGAGCACTAGGGCCACCCTCCACTGCTTTCTCAGGCCATAGCAGAGAGCTGGATCGGAAGTAGAGCAGCCGGGACTCGAACCGGTGCCCATATGGGATGCCAGCACTGCAGGCGAAGGATTAACCTACTGAGCCACAGCGCCGACTCCCCCTACCCCAAGCCTTGTGTATTTATCTCACATCTACATAATTTTCCTCATCTGGAAAGCAGAGGCAGACACACACGTACAGAGATCTCCCATCCGTTGGGTCACTCCCCAAATGCCAGCAACAGCCAGGGCTGGGCAGGGCCAAAGCCAGGAGCTCAGAAATCCAGCCGGGTCTCCCATGCCAGGGTCTGAGTACCGGAGCCACGGTCCACTGCCTCGCTGGGCGCACACTGGCCGGAAGCTGGAATCCAAAGTGGAGCCTAAACTCCAAGCGCAGGCCCTGGGTCCTCCCTGCCTCCTCCCTGCGCGGCTGCGATCGGCTTGGGTCCATCTCCTGTTGCTCTGCCTCTGCTGCCCCACATCCCTCCCTGTCTGGTCTCGCCTCTCGGGGACAAGCCCACTCCTCCGTTAAAACCTGCCCTCAGCTTTGATTTCCCTGCACAAGAACAAAGGGAGCTTCCCGGAGCCTGGATGTGGCAACAACACCTGCTTCACATAGATGACCCCAGATGACCCCAGGCCGGGCCATCTTCAGCCATCTCTCTTGTTTTCCACTGGCATTTTCCCTCCCTCCTTATCTGATGGCAACTCCTTCCCTCTCTGGCCGCTGCCTCTGCCCCCACCCCCACTTCCTGGGGCTGGCTGCCTCCTGGGTCCTCTCCCCCCACTCCCCGCTGAGCTTTCTGGCCTCGCCCCTCCTCCTAAGTCCTTCTGGCCCCCAGCTGTGTTGTCCACCTTTTGTCTCTCCCAGCTGGACTCCCAGGCCCCGTGCCCAGTTGGGAGTCGGTGCTCAGAGAGGCCAGGGCAGAGGCTGGGAGCAGCCGGCGCCCTCCTCCCCCGCCACCCCCTCAGTTCTCAGGAGGGAGCAGGGGACAGGCCAGGGCTTGAGCGGGTGTCTCCAGGGCCAGGCCTGGCCTCTGCAGCCCCCGTACACCCGAAACTCCAGGGCTTTCCCTGGCCCGGCTCCTCCCTCTGGCCCCCCGCCCCGCCCCCTGAGATCCTGCAGACGTGGGGGTGCTCAGTGGGGAGGGGAAAAGTCAGTGGGCTCACTGTGTGCCCGGGCAGAGGCCACGCCCCCCAGATCTCACTGTCCCCAGCGTCAAGGAGGAGGCACCGCCCATCTCTGTGGGACCCCCAGGGCTGACCCCAACAGGGGTCCCGGAGTCTGGGAAGGAGAAGCACACGGATTGGTCGTGCCTCAGTTTCCCCACAATAGGAGACTGGACAAGCAGGGGGAGGGGTAGGCATCTGGGTGGACATCTGGGGAGTGCAGGGCTCAGCTGGGGGGAGGCGGGGGCAGCCTGACAGGGACTGGAAGTTCTGAGTTGGCCCCAGGGATGGTGCAATCCTGCCAGGGCCTTGTCTGTGCCGTCCCTTTCACAACCACCATCGCCACGCCGCCCCCAAGGCTGACACGTGGTGGTGGGGGCACAGGGCCAGCCAACCTAGACTCTGGGGCCAGGCCACCCCCCCCCCCAGCTGCCAGGGATCACTGCCGGTCAAAGGCAGCCCACGGGGAGGGGGAGGCTTTGGAGTCGGGCCCTGGGGGACGGATGTGGCAAGGGAAGGGGGGGAATGGAGGGACAGGCTCGGTGCCAGCAGGCCTGAGAGGGTGAATACCAGCGGAGGGAGGGTTCGGGGCGAGGGGGGGAGGCTGGAGGAAGGGATGGGGGGGCACGCGCTGGGAGTTTGCAGCTGAGGCTTTGCGGCTCAGAGGAGCTGGAAATCCTCCCAAAACTACAGGGAGATGGGGGCGGGGGTGCAAAGGGAAGCCCCCAGAGAGCATCACAGAGGGGCGACCGTGTGGTGGCTCCAGGGCTGGGCTGACAGAGAGCGCGCAGGTGCAGCAGGTGGCACGGAGGGCAGCAGTGCCGGCTCCACAGAGAGACCCCAGAGACGTGGGCAGCGCTGTTTGCTGAGAAGCCAGGGCGGAGGGGAGCAGGCCTAGGGACCCACAGCGGTATTCCCTGGGCCTGGGGGACAGCCCTGCCCAGTGACAGCCACAGGGAGGGGACGAAGGCCCCGGGCCAGGGGAAAGGGGCTATGGCCGCCTGGGGCCCCCTGAAGTCAGGGAGGCTTGGCGAGGTACGAACAGCACGGACCTTTGGCCCTAATTAGGAGTGCCAGGGCCCCAGCTGCCCCTCCACCCCCACCAGAGAGGGCAGGTGGGCACAGGTGCTAGGGGGAGGGAGGTTGACCCGCCCCGTCCCGCCCCCGCCCCAGCCTGATAAAGACCCAGGCGGGCCGAGACCTCCCGCCCCTGCAGCCCCGCGACCGTGGTTCAGGTTGGTGCAGCGTTCCCGGGGAGGGACCTCCGCCCCGCCCCGCACCCGCTCCCGAGGGCTCCGGACCTCCGGGGGGCGGCGGGGAAGGAAGGAAGGGCACTGATGGCTCCCACCCCCGCCCCCGCCCTCCAGAGCGCCCCTCCGGCCCCGCCATGAGGCTCGTTCTGTCGCTCCCCGTGCTGGTGCTGGCTCTGTCGATGGCTCTGGAAGGTAAAAGGCTGAGATTTGGAAACGTGAGGCTTGGCCAACTGCCGGGGGTCCGGGCCTGCAAGTCCCGAGAGCGCTCTGGGGCCCCTGCGCCCTCCGGGTTTCCCGGTCGTCCTCGGACCGCCCCCGCCCCCACCCCACCCCACCCCCACCCAGCTAGGTGGGTCTCCAGGTTCCCGGAGCCCGGACGGCAGATCTGCCCCGAGGAGCCTAGCGACTGATGACGTATTGGGTCTCCCACATCTGATTGGCTGTCCTGCTTCGCCCCCTTGAGCCGGGCGGCGGTGGGGGGCTGGGGATTCGGGCAGACGAAGACCACCGCTCCCAGCAGCCCGAGGACCCCTCATTCCGACTCCGCGGCCCCCAAGAGTCCCGTTCCAGGATGTCCTTATCTGTCCTTGGAATCCCGTCCCAGGGATGTAACTGGAGGTTTTGCACTCCGCACCCTCTCGCCCATCTGCGTAGGCCCTGCCCCAGCCCAGGCGGCCCCAGACTTCAGCACCTTGGAGCTCATCCCAGATAAGCTGAAGGAGTTTGGGAACACCCTGGAGGAAAAGGCCCGGATGGCCATTGAACACATCAAGCAGAGCGAAATCACCACCAAGACCCGGTTAGGACCCGGGGGCTGCGGCTGGGGTGGGCGGGGGGCAGGGCAGGGGGTGGGGAGGAAGCCCTGGAGATGGGAGAAATTCAAGCCCGGAAAGGCTGACGGCAACGCTGTGGTCCCAGAACCGGATGTGCGGGCTCCAGGTCTCCAGGGACAGCTGCCCTGACCCCACCCCCACACATGCATAGAGACGGAGCAAGGTGGTGGCCGAGGACCCGCGCTCGGATGTCCCCAGCCTAGGCCTTCTCCCGGCTGTGTGGTCTTGAGACGGGGGTGTCACACGAGCCTCAGCATCCCGTCCTGTGAAATGGGTGTCTCAGGGGAGTGAGGGAGGCCTGCCTGGCGCCTGGCGATATTCAACACTTTGCTTAACCCGCATCGGCTCCAGTGGAGAAGCTGGAGAATCGTCCCCTCACTGGCAGTGTTTATTGAGCATCCGCTAAGCGCCAGCCCCCCACCCCCGCAATGATGAACAAGATAAAATCCCGCCCTCAGAGGGCTGACTCTTCTTAAAGATTGATTTATGCACTTGAAGGAGTTACAGAGAGAAGGAGATCTTCCATCTGCTGGTTCACTCCTCAGATGACCACTGTGGTCAGGACGGGGCCAGGCTGATAGGAGCCAGGAACTTCATCCGGGTCTCCCACCTGGGTGCAGGGGCTCAAGTACTACGGCCATCCTCCGCTGCTTTCCCAGGCACATCAGCAGGGAGCTGGATCAGAAGTGGAGCAGGGGCCAGCGCTGTGGTATAGTGGGTAAGGTTGGCGCCTGCAGTGCCAGCATCCCACGTGGGCACCACCTCTGATCCAGCTCTCTGCTGTGGCCTGGGAAGGCAGTGGGAGATGGCCCAAGTCCTTGGGCCCCTGCACCCACGTGGGAGACCTGGAGGAAGCTCCTGGCTCCTGGCTTCAGATCAGCGCAGCTCCAGCTGTTGCGGCCATCTGGGGAGTGAACCAGCGGATAGAAGACCTACCTCTCTCTCTCTCTCTCTCTCTCTCTCTCTCTCTCTCTCTGCCTCTCTGTAACTCTGCCTTTCAAATAAGTAAATAAATATTTTAAAAAGAAGGAGAAGAAGAAGTGATGCAGCCGGGACTTGAACCAGTGCCCACATGGGATGCCAGCACCAGGTGGTGGCTTTACCTGCTGCACCACAGCGCCGGCCGGCCCCTTGGTGCAGTCTCCTCTGAGGACGTGGCTCTTGAACCTGAGCCCTGAAAGATGAGGGAGAAGCATTCAGGCCTTTGGCTAGGAGAAGGCGCCGCCCGGCGGGCAGTGCAAAGTCCTGAGACGGGAAGATTTGTAGATAAAGAGAGGGGTGCACTACAGACCCAGGGACCGCAGGGACAGAGGAGGGAGCCGTAAAGTGGCCTTGAATGAGTAGGGGACAAACAGGGCAAGGGTAGCCTTGGAGGAAGGGCTGGGGGCCGGGTGAAGAGCTCTGGCTTTGAGCTGCTCTGGGCTGGCCGGCAAGCTGGGGCTCAGTGGGGCCTCCGGACTCCACAGGGGAAGGTCGGGGAGTCGGGTGGGGGACAGGGCTTGGACGTCCCGAGGAGTGACGCCCCCTCCGCACTCCCCCCCGCAGGAACTGGTTCTCAGAGACCATCAGCAAAGTGAAGGAGAAATTCAAGTCTACCTTCTCCTGAGCGCCCGCCGAGAGCCGCCGTCGCCGCCCCCCCTCCCCGTGCCTGCACCTGCACCGAGGGCCTCTCCATGCACCTCCCTCCCCCCCTCCCCCACCAATAAAAGTCCCACAGAGATGTCGCTGCGGTGGTGGTTCCTGGGGGGCGGGGGCCGTGGCGGATGGTGGGGGCTGCGCCCGAGGGGGTCCTTGCTGCCTTGAGCCCAGTCCCCCTGCCCTGGGCTGCAGATGGGTGAACGCCATGACCTCCAAGGAACCTTGTGTGCGGGACCCTGTTCATCCCACAAGTGCACTGAGGCCCAGAGGGGCCGGGGAGTGGAGCTCCCTGGGCCGCACTCGCCTGCTGTGCGCTGCTCCGGGTGCGGAACTGGGCCTGGTGCACCACTGCACATAGTAGGTGTTCATGAAACTCTAGATGGACAGTGAGGAGAAATGCAGGAGAAGGTAGCATGGGAGCTGGAGCCCTGAGAGACACCCACGCACTCTCACCTTTTAGGCTGCAGCCTTCTGCGTTCCCTCCTCCAGGAAGCCTTCCTTGAACCCCGAGCTGGGCCAGGGACTGGTCCGTCCCACTGTGAGCTCCAGGGGGCCCGAGGTAGCCCTGTGGGCACGCTGTGTCCCCACGCAGAGACCAGCATGGAGCTGATAGCTCCGGTACTGGATTGACATTGGCGCAGTGCCTCTGGTGGTTAACGATGAACCCAGAGCAAGGTCTGGTGGGGTGAGCATTGCGCAGCTCAGCGGCGGACGCAGCCCGGGACGCCCACAACCCCCACGCCACTTCCAGTCCAGCTCCCTGCCAGTGCGCCCCTGCAAGACTGCGGGTGATGGCTCAAGTACTTGGGGCCCTGCCACTCATGTGGGAGACCAGGATCGAGGTGCAGATTCCTGGCTTCATGCTGTTCTGGGCATCTGGGGAGCGAACCAGCAGATGGAAGATCTCTCTGCTTTTCAGACAAAAGCAGATGGATAAGCTTAAATAAATAACTAAATAAAAGTCTTCTAGCAGCCTTAGCGCTCACAGGGCCCCCAGCCCCACCCCCACTCTGCAGCTGAGAAAGCTGAGGCACAGCTGGTGGAAGCCCCTGCCTGAGGTCCTACAGTCGAAAGTGGGTACTTTCTCCCTTGCTGCGTCACCCGCAGTGCGGAGCTGACAGGTGCAGCCCACACCGTGCGCAGGGATCAAGGGCATTCACCTGCACCCAGGGGGCCAGCGTGGCGCCACCACCCGCAAAGCCGGCACCCCGCATCGAGGCACCGGTTTGAGTCCCGGCTGCTCCACTTCCGATCCCGCTTCCTGTTAATGCGCCTGGGCGGCAGTGGTGGTGGCCTCAGTGTTGGGCCCCTGCCACCCTCATAGATCTGGACTGTTTCAAGTCCCTGGCTTCGGCCATTGCAGCCGTCTGGGGAGTGAACCAGCAGATGGAAGATCTCTCTCTCTCTCTCTCTCTCTCTCCCTCTCTCTCTCTCTCTCTCTCTCTGTCTCCCCCATTCTGTCTTTCAAATAAATAAGTAAGCAACTCAGTGCTCCCATGCCCTAAACATAGCACTCAAGGGAGGAATTTGTGCTGTGGTTGGCAGAACTGAACCTGTGTGATCATCATCAACTGTTACTAGCATTTTGGAGCCCGTCTGTTTTTATTTATTGTCATTGGTCTGGAAGATGGAGAGACAGACAGAGATCTTTCATCCACTCAGTCACTCCCCACATGGCCGCATCAGCCAGGAATGGACCAAGCCAAAGCCAGGAGCCTGGAACTCCATCCGGGTCTCCCATGTGGGTGCCGGGGCCCAAGCACTTAGGCCATCTTCCACTTGCTCTCCCAGGCACATTAACAGGGAGCTGGATTGGAAGTGGAGCAGCCGGGACTCAAACTGGTGCTCCTGTGGGATGCCGGCATCACTGGCTGCGTCTTATCCCGCTGCACCACAGCCCCAGCCCCTTGGTATTTGAAGAGAGGCTCAAGCTCACAGGCAATGAGATTAAAAAAAAAAAAAAAAAAAAACTTGGCTCCCAGCCACCTGCCAGAAAGCAGAACAGAAAAGCCCAGTTACTTGGTTCTGGTTTGGTTTGGTTTTTTTGCCCATAATGAAATTGACACCAAAACAGGGGATCGTTGTTGTGTATCTCACAAAATCAGACCACGGCCTTCTCCTGGCGGCACCGCTGGAGTCACAGAAGCCATGGGAAGGCCGTCAGAGGGGAAGCACCGGCCTCGCCGCCTCCGGCAGCGGGAGCACCCGTGTCTACGCCAGCAGCGTCTGGATGTTTAGAACGCCGGCCGCCGCGGGCCCCACACAGCCGTCAGCTTCACAATCAGCCTCCGCGGGGCTGGCGTTGTGGCGCCGCCGATTAAGATTCCACGGTGTCCTGTGTGGGCATCAGTTCGAGTCCCGGCTGCTCCGCTTCGGATGCAGCTCCCTGCTAATGCACCTGGGAAAGCAGCGGAGACCCCTGCCACTCACATGGGCGACCTGGATGGAGTTCCAGGCTCCTGGCTTCAGCCTGGCCTTGCCCTGGCTATTGTGGCCATTTGGGGAGTGAACCAGCGGATGGATGGAAGACCTCTCTCTCTCTCTCTCTCTCTCTCTCTCTGTCACTCTGCTTTTCAAATACATAACTAACTGTCACGGCCAGTGCCGTGGCATAGTGGGTAAAGCCGCCGCCTTCAGTGCCGCGTATAGCCACCCAATAAGAACTTGGACTTGGGGCCATTTCTTGTTCTTTGTTTCCCCCTCCAGGCGCGGATGTAGTAGATCTAGAGCCAAAGCTGTGTTATTGTTAATGGCTCCCAGCCCAGCTCGTCCCCAGGGGCATCCGGGAGGGTGTGTGCACCTGGGGAGCTGCCGCGGGCACTGCATTGCGTCACCATGACAGCGGCCGGGCAGTGTCCAGGGACACCAGGGACTTGTGTGCCCTGTGTTCCAGCAGGGGCCACGGACCCGCGCAGGAGACCTGGCCAGGCTGGTCGTGGCAGCATCAGCTGGGGAGGTGGGTGGCAAGCGGAAGCGACCCAGGGGGCTCAGCACCAGGGCAGTGAAACACTAAACCCCGGGCCGTGGTGTGGGAGGAGAATGAGTGAGCGAGGTGCTGACACAGCAACTTGGAGAGCTCCGAAGCTACAGAGGAGAAGCAGGGGGCGGGCGTTGGCACACGGCAGGCCAGGCCTCTGCCTGGGACGTCGCACCCCACATCAGTGTTCAAGTTCGGGCAGCTCTGTTTGGGATCTGGCTCCCTGCTAATGTGCGTGGGAAGCGTGGAGGAGGGCTCCAGAGCTTGGGCCCCTGCCACCCATGTGGGAGACCTGGAGGGAGCTCCTGGCTTTAGCCTGGCCCTGCCCTGGCTGTTTTGGTCCTTAGAGGAGTGAATCAGCAGATGGAAGAAGTGTGTGTGTGTTGAGCCGGCGCCGCGGCTCAATAGGCTAATCCTCCACCTAGCGGCGCCAGCACACTGGGTTCTAGTCCCGGTCGGGGCGCTGGATTCTGTCCCGGTTGCCCCTCTTCAGGCCAGCTCTCTGCTGTGGCCAGGGAGTGCAGTGGAGGATGGCCCAAGTGCTTGGGCCCTGCACCCCATGGGAGACAAGGAGAAGCACCTGGCTCCTGGCTTCCGATCAGTGCGATGTGCCAGCCGTGGCGGCCATTGGAGGGTGAACCAACGGCAAAGGAAGACCTTTCTCTCTCTCTTTCTCTCTCACTGTCCACTCTGCCTGTCAAAAAAGAAGTGTGTGTGTGGTCCTCTTCTCTGTCACTCAACCTTCAAAATAATTAAATCTGTTAAGGAGAGACAGAAGGAAGAGGGCCGGCGCCATGGCTCACTTGATTAATCTACCTGCAGTGCCGGCATCCCATATGGACGCCAGGTTCTGGTCCTGGTTGCTCCTCTTCCTGTCCAGCTCTCTGCTGTGGCCTGGGAAGGCAGTGGAGGATGGCCCAAGTGCTTGGCCCAAGCGCCTGCACCCGCATGGGAGACCAGGAGGAGGCACCTGGCTCCTGGCTTCAGATCAGATCTGGCTGTAGTGGCCATTTGGGGGGTGAACCAACGGAAGGAAGACCTTTCTCTCTGTCTCTCACCGTCTAACTCTACCTGTCAAATAAATAAATAAATAAAGGAAAGAAGGAAGAAAGGGAGAAGAGTCGCTGATGGGAAATTCAAACAAGCACACGTGTGTGAGACAACCACAAGGTTTAAGGTTGCATGGGGGGGGGGGCGCTGTGGCGCAGTGGGTTAATGCCCTGACCTGCGGTGCCGGCATACGGCCCCCAGTTCAAGTCCTGGCTGCTCCTCTTCCAATCCTCCTCTCTGCTATGGCCTGAGAAAGCAGTAGAAGATGGCCCAAGTCCTTGGGCCCCTGCACCTGCGCGGGAGACCCGGAGGAAGCTCCTGGCTTCGGATCGGTGCAGCTCCGGCTGTTGCAGCCATCTGGGGAGTGAACCAGCAGATGGAAGATCTCTCTCTCTCTCTCTCTCTCTCTCTCTCTCTACTTCTCTCTGTAACTCTATCTTTCAAATAAATAAATATAAATCCTTAAAAAAAAGATTGCATGGGGAAAATATTTGCAAACTATGTAGCTGATCGAATACAGGGACCTCCTAGAAGTGCTCCCTGCGCAGGAGGGGGGCGGGGGAAGCGGTGCTGTTACAGAAATCCGAGGTGAGAAGACTCCCTAGTTCAAGCAGGCACTAGAGACAGTGGAGGAGTGAAGCAGTTTATCACGCCCGCGGGCTCGGCTGGAATCCTTTCCCGAGGACTGAGCGACCATCCCGTTTCTTGCAGTGTGTATAGGTTCATCAGCGTCAGACCTTAGCCGTTCCAGCATTGGTGGGTTTAAACAGCAGCCTACGTGACTCAGGACCGCACTTCCAGTGGTCGGGGGGCCTGGTGTGTCTGTAGAAGAGATGCCAGGGGCAGATTTATTGGGACAGATATGAAGAACCTAGGACATCTCCCCTCCTTCCCTCCCTAGGCAAGGTCTCAGTGCGCAGCTGCTTCGCTAGTGAATTGCGAGCAGCCACTTTCCAGGTCTGTGTTGGGAGGAGGGGTCCGCTTCTCCAACTCTGTCTCGGGCTGCGGCCGTGTTTCCTCTGCAGTGCGGCGGCTGTGCAAGACTGAGGAAGTTCCTCCAAGCGCCGAGTGCGGCCGCGTGACCTGGCAAAGGCGAGGTCAGGACCTCAGAAAGACGCTGGCACTCGGTGTCTGTGGCCGTGTGACCCGCGATCGCCAAGATGGGAAAGAGCGCACGTGCCCAGCGAGAGAGGAATGGCTTGGGAAAACGTGACATAGGGATGTGCTCTGGTACAGCAGTGAAGCTGATGCCCGGGGCACCCCCATCCCACGGCAGAATCCCTGGACTGGAATCCTGATTCTGCTTCCGATCCAGCTCCCTGCGAATGCGCCCGGGAAAGCAGCAGAAGACGGCCCAAGCGCTTGGGCCCCTGCACCCACGTGGGAGACCCGGATGGAGCTCCTGGCTCCTGGCTTCAGCCTGGCCCAGCCCCAGCTGTTGCAGCTACTGGGGGAGTGAACCAGCGAATGGGTCTCTCTCTTTCTCTCTCTCTCTCTCTCTCTCTCGTCTGCCTTTCAAATAAAATAAAGCAAACCTTTAAAAAACGAAAGAGAGAAAGGATGGCGGTACCTGGGCGGGGAAGGGCAGTGAGACGTGGCTGCTGAGTGCTCCGGGGTCATCTCCCAGGATGGGAAAACATTCTGGAATCAGACAGCCATGCGGGTCGCGTGGCCCCCGCAGGTGGGCCAAGGACCCCAGCACTGTGCACTTTCGCAGAGCTGAGTTTTGTGGAGTGTGAATTCTATCTCGAGTTTTTCAGAATGAACGAAATTCCCAGAGAGACGGCAGGAAGAAGAGATACGGCTCAGCCCGCTCCCGGCACCCCCTAGGAGCGCCGCTCCAGTGCTGCAATCCAGCTCCCCGCCGCTGCACCCCGGAGAGCACCAGGTGGCCCAAGCGCTCCGGCCCCCGCCACCCTCGCGGGAGACCCGGATGAGGCCCCAGGCGCCTGGCTTCAGCCCGGTGTGGCCCTGGCCGCAGTGGCCATTTGGAAAGTAAATCAGCAGATGGAAGACCTCTCTCTTTCTCTGTCCCTCTCTCTCTGTTGCAAAAGAGAAAAGAAGGAGGGAGGGCAGGGAGGGAGGGAGAGATGGAGATACCCTCACACACCCCTTTCCACCTTCCCTTCCCTGCCATGGCCCAGAGTGGCCCTGGGGAGGTGCGTGGTCAGAGACCAGCAGGGAGGGGATGCAGGGGTCCTGAGATGCCGGCCTGGGCCAGGGACCTGGAGTGGAGGGAAAGAGCTGGGAGACGAGGGAGACGGGGGTAGGGGTGGGGGCTGCACGGCCAGGTCCGGTGACTCGGAGGACGCAGAGCCGTGCCTGTCCTCAGATGCACGCTGCCTCGGGCCCACTGCCCCTCTGACCTCTGCCCCCTGCCCATCCCCCTTCCGTTGTTTGTCCGCTGCCTCTGAGTCCCCCACCCCCCGCCCCGACCTTCAGCCTGTTCCTGTCCCTGAGATGGGCAAACATTGCAGGCAGCGGACGGCAAACACCTGCAGCCGTCCTGCCCGCTGACCTTGGGGCAGGGACAGAGGTCAGAGACCTCCCGTGGGTCCACCCCTCTCTGCTCCCATCTCCCCCTTGCCCTCCGGGGTTGTGCTGGGGCCTGGCTGGGTGGTGGGAGAAGGGAGAAGACCCCCGCCCATCCAGGTCTGCCCCCAGGCCCCCAGCCTCAGTTTCCACATCTGTAAAACAGGGAGCACGACGCTGGCGGCTCGGCCGCTGAGTGAGTGCATCACCACCGGCCGCGCCCGGCCCCTGCTGGATCGTGTGCTAAGCAAACAGCAGCTGATAGCAGCTGACAGCCTGGCGCCCCGTGGTTGCTCTCCCGGCCACAGGACAGGGTGGCAAGTCTGTGACTGCCTTTTCTGGGTAAGGAGGAAGTGCCCAGAGAGGTTAAGCAACTTGCCCGCGGTCACACCGCTGGACAGCTGGGGCCAGGCTCTGAACCCCGCACCCGGCTGCTTCTCAGAACGCAACACACACTGGGCTCCTTTCCACCTCAGTGCTGTCCTAGGGAGACACTGACAGATCTTCCATTCGCTGGCTCATTCCCCCGAACGCCCAAGGCAGCGCCGACTGTGGCGAAGAGCTCGGAACTCCACCCGGGTCTCCTACATGGGCAGCAGGGACCCAAGGACTTGAGCCATTGTCGGCCACCTCCCAGGGTGCACGAGCGCTCCCAGGGGGCCGGACTGGAAGCAGAGCCAGGCCTCGAACGCAGGCCCTCTGATACGCGGTGCAGCATCTCGCGCCCCGCCTCCACCTCCGTGTCAGACCCCACTCCTGCTTTTGTTTCCACGGTGGGGCGGGCGCTATGGCACAGGTTAATCCTCCGCCTGCAGCGCCGGCATCCCATATGGGCGCCGGTTCGAGTCCCGGCTGCTCTTCTTCCGATCCAGCTCTCTGCTGTGGCTCAGGAGCGCAGTGGAAGGTGGCCCAAGTGCTTGGGCCCTGCACCCCATGGGAGACCCGGAGGAAGCTCCTGGCTCCTGGCTTCGGATCGGTGCAGCTCTGGCCATTGTGACCATTTGGAGAGTGAACCAGTGGATGAAGACCTCTCTCTCTCTCTCTCTCTCTCTGTAATTCTCTCAAATAAGAAAGAAACTCTTGAAAAAAATGCGCGTGACACACCGTGTAGCGATTTATGCACTCCAGGGGCGTGAAGCACACTCACTTTGTTGTGCAAACGTCACCAAACTTTTCCATCATCCCAAAGGGACCAGGTGCCTCTGTTTGGTTGATCGGTGCCAGCCAGGAGCACCAGGGACATCTGTCTTACTGTGGGCTGGTCCCGGGAGCCCTGGGCTGGACACCGTTCTGCTGGGGGCCTCTGGTTCCCAGCCATCCTGTACCGCTGTTCAGGTTGTGGCCAGAGGTCAGTTGTCAGAACTGCCACATCAAAATACAACGTGCGGAGCCGGCGCCGTGGCTCAATAGGCTAATCCTCCACCTTGCGGCGCCGGCACACCGGGTTCTAGTCCCGGTCGGGGCGCCGGATTCTGTCCCGGTTGCCCCTCTTCCAGGCCAGCTCTCTGCTATGGCCAGGGAGTGCAGTGGAGGATGGCCCAAGTGCTTGGGCCCTGCACCCCATGGGAGACCAGGAAAAGCACCTGGATCCTGGCTCCTGCCATCGGATCAGCGCGGTGCGCTGACTGCAGCGGCGGCCATTGGAGGGTGAACCAACAGCAAAGGAAGACCTTTCTCTCTCTGTCTCTCTCTCTCACTGTCCACTCTGCCTGTCAAAAAAAAAAAAAATACAACGTGCAAAAAAAGAAAAAAAAAAAAAAAAAGAACCCCTGGCAGTTTCTCCCTTGGAGCCCCCACCCGCACCCTAACTTCTGAGGCAGGCGGGGGCGGGGGAAGCCCAGTTGCATTTGAATGTCCAAGTTTCCCATGCATAGCAAATCTTTTTTTTTTTTTTTTTTGCTGTAATTCCCAAGTCTTGCATGGGACATACAAGGGGTCTTCAAAAAGTTCGTGGAAAATGTGTATTATGAGAAAACTATGCGTTCTGCACCCAAATAAAACGTCTTGGACTTCCATTGTCAAAGGGCTGTTCCTTGCGTATTTGAAACTCAACGTACCTGGGCGTCCCCCAGAGGGGAGATGTCCGGCCCTCGGGCCCTCTGAGACTCCGGGACTCCCTGGGTCTGGCCCTGCCCAGGCAGCTGCAGGCGGGACTTAGAATTCGGCAGATCTACAGCAGGCTTGTTTTTCGGTTGATAATTTTTGCATGGCCAGCAAATGGCGTTATAAATACCCACATGGCCCCTGGCAGAAGCAAGGATCCCCACCTGTGCTAGACCAAGGAGTCCAACGCACGTCTGCACCTGCTGCGGGCCGGCGCCCACTGGGAGTGCCCGGATCTTTCCTGCCCTGGCCTCAGCCGGGCTGCACAGGGACCCTGGGCGGAGGTGGGGGGCGGGCGTGGGGTGCTTATTGTCACACTCATCTTACAGATGAGAAAGCTGGGGTCCAGTCTTGGCGCAGGAAAGGGCACTTGGACGCCCAGGTCTGCCTGCGGCTGGAGTCTCCCCAGGAGCTGGAGCTCCAGGGTTGCTGGGAGGGGCCGCGGTCGCAGCCCAGCGAGGGAGAGCAGGGCAGGAGTGCCAGGCTGTGTGGCTGCCGTCGGCCCGCACCCAGCCCGGTGCCCGGTGGCTGAGTTCTCTTAGTGACAAGGGGACACCGTGAGGCTCTGTGTGCAGCACAAGCCTCGGCCCGGGCTGTTCCGCTGATGTCCTGATCCAGGCCCCTGTTTTACAGACAGGGAAGCCGAGGGCCCACAAAGGGGCTGTGACACAAGGTGCAGCCGGGATTTGAACCCGGGTCGGTGCAGGAGGTCCAAGAGACTCTGTCAGGTCCAGGAGTGGAGGCTGAGGAGGAGAGAGGTCAGTGGGGGCAGGCATGGCCCCCGTCACCTGGGTCCTGTTCTCTGAAGTCCCTGCCAACAGGCGTGGGAGGTGGCCGGGGGAGGGCTCTGCTCTGTGCAGCCCGCCCCTCCCCCCGGGCCGAAGAGCTGAGCACAGAGAGGGACAGAGGGACAGAGGGACAGAGGGACAGGGGGACAGAGGGACAGGGGGACAGAGGGACAGGGGGACAGGGGGAAGAAGCCCCCAGAAATGCTGCTCCCGAGACGCGGGCTCCGGACCCTGCCCTCCCTCTGCCTCTACATCCTGGTCCTGGTCTGGGTCGTGGGTGAGGAGGGGGTGAGGGCTCTGGAGGGGCGGCTTGGGCACTTGGTGGCCTCCGTGTGTGCGTGGTGGTGGGAGGCGGCTGTGTCAGGGGCTGAGTGAGGGGGGAGGGGTCTTTGGCATGCACAGGGGAGGGGGTCCTGGCAGAGGTGTCCACCTGTGAGTCTGCATGTGCCAGCAGGTGCACCTGGGTCCCGCACACGCAGTTGAAGTCTTCCGTGACACGGACGTCGCCCAAGACGCCCTTCTCGGTGCACTGTTTTCCATTTTTGAAATGTTTAGATATGAGGCACAGCACTTTTTAAACAATGTTGTTTATTTTCATTTTATTTGAAAGGCAGAGGGACAGAGAGAGATCTTCCATCTGCTGGTTCATTCCCCAAATGCCTGCAACAGCCAGGGCTGGGCCAGGCAAAGTCAGGACCCCAAGTCCATCCGGGTCTCTCGCACGGCTGGCGTCATCACCTTCCTGCCTTTCACTAGCAGGAAGTTGGGTCGAAGCAGACGAGCAGGGACTCGGACCAGGCACTCTGATAGGGGGTGCGGGGTCCCAGGCGGGGTCTTACGCCCTGCTCCAAACGCCGGCCCCCTGAGTGCATTCTGGGTACCGGCTCCCACCACGGCTCTGAGCCGCTGCTCAGTGCACTCTGCTGAAGGAGGTTAAGTCATGGCCGCCCCCCACAGCGGGGCACGCGGGCGCCTCTGTGGTGGGGTGCAGGTGTGTACCCCCACAATGGGCCCTGTGGACAAGGCTTCGTCCAGGGGCGTGGGTGCTGGATAGACAGGTGCATGCCAGGAAGAAGGAAACCATGATGGGGCGGGGCAAGGGCTGGGGTCTGGGGGGAGTGGCTGGCTGTGGCTGAGGGTGCAGGTGGGGTGACAGTGGGCGGGGAGGGGACTGCGGGGCTGCATGGGAGGAGGGCAAAGCTGATCCCGCACCCTTTTCCGTCCTCTGACCCCCCCAGCATGCGAGCCTGAAGGGACCCCCACGCCCCTGCCCGCGCCCGAGGAAAGCCGCTGGAGCCTGGTGCCCAGCTCGGTGAAGGAGCTGGTGGGTCCGCTGCTGACTAGGACCAGAGAGAGGTGGCAGTGGTTCTGGTGAGGGCCTGGACCCCGGGGGTGGGGAGGAGGGCGGGGCCTGGACCCCTGGGAGTGTGGGAGGAGGGGCTGGGCCTGGACCCTGGGTCTGAGGGAGGAGAGGCCTGCACCCCTGGGTCTGAAGGAGGAGGGGCCTGGACCCTGGGTCTGAGGGAGGAGGGGCTGGGGGCCTGGACCCCTGGGTCTGAGGGAGGAGGGGCTGGGGGCCTGGACCCCTGGGTCTGAGGGAGGAGGGGCTGGGGGCCTGGACCCTGGGTCTGAGGGAGGAGGGGCTGGGGGCCTGGACCCCTGGGTCTGAGGGAGGAGGGGCTGGGGGCCTGGACCCTGGGTCTGAGGGAGGAGGGGCTGGGGGCCTGGATCCTGGGTCTGAGGGAGGAGGGGCTGGGGGCCTGGACCCTGGGTCTGAGGGAGGAGGGCTGGGGGCCTGGACCCTTGGGTCTGAGGGAGGAGGGGCTGGGGCCTGGACCCCTGGGTGTGAGGGAGGAGGGGCCTGGACCCTGGGTGTGAGGGAGGAGGGGCTGGGGGCCTGGACCCTGGTTCTGAGGGAGGAGGGACCTGGACCCCTGGGTCTGTGGGAGGAGGGGCTGGGCCTGGACTCCGGGGTCTGAGAGAGGAGGGAGAGAATGGCGCTGGACCCCCAGGGTAGGGGGTCCTGGCTGTGACGCCCCTCTCCCGCAGGGGCCCTGGGGCCTTACAGGGCTTTGTGCAGACCTACTATGATGACCACCTGAGAGACCTGGGTCCCCGCGCGCAGGCCTGGCTCACCAGCTCCAGGGACCGCCTCCTGAACACGGCCCAGGGCCTGTGCCCCAGGCTCCTGTGCGGGGACAAGGACCAGGACTGAGGCGCTGAGCCCCCCGCCCCCCCCCCCCCCAGCTCTCAATAAAGACCTGCTCACCTGCTCACCTGCGCTCTGCCCATCGTTCCCCACCTGCGAGTTAATGAGTAGAAGAGGGGATATGGCCGGCGCCGCGGCTCACTAGGCTAATCCTCCACTTTGCGGCGCCGGCACCCCTGGTTCTAGTCCTGGTCGGGGCGCCGGATTCTGTCCCGGTTGCCCCTCTTCCAGGCCAGCTCTCTGCTGTGACCAGGGAGTGCAGTGGAGGATGGCCCAAGTGCTTGGGCCCTGCACCCGCAGGGGAGACCAGGAGAAGCACCTGGCTCCTGGCTTCGGATCAGCGTCGTGCGCCAGCCGCGGCGGCCATTGTGGGGTGAACCAAAGGAAAAAGACCTTTCTCTCTGTCTCTCTCTCTCTCACTGTCCACTCTGCCTGTCAAAAAAAAAAAAAAAAAAAAAAAAAGGAGGGGATACCTGAAGCAGAGCATCCAGGGGCTTTGGGAGGGGAGGGGGTGCAGTCCTGCCCCACCAAGGTGGGGGCTGCAGACTTTAAGGCACCTGGGGTCCGGAGTCCATGGCTGGGGGGCAGATGGGGGTCAGCGGGATCCCTGGGCGGCTCCGCCCTCACTTTCCATGGACCCCAGACCACGTCCCTGGGGGTCACCCTGCACCGCAGCCCCCAAGCCTGCCTGTCTCCCTCCCCCGTGGGTCCCCGCCGCTGACCTCTGCCCAAGGCCACTGCCCTTCCTGCCCCCACCCCCCCACCCCCGTGGTGGCTGTGTTGGCTGGGACTTTGGCCGAGGCCGAGAGAGGGTGGTGGCCGTGCGAGGGACCTGGACAGGCTGGCTATAAAGCCTCTCTGCCCAGCTGGGACCACGAGGAAAGCCCAGGAGCCTGGTAAGAGGGGACAGCAGCGAGGTCAGTGGGGGAGGGGGCAAAGGCTCATGGGAATCCCAGGGGCTGGACGTTGGAAGCCTGTGTCGGGTCTGTGAGGCCCAGGACTGGGAATATTTGCCTGGCTGGGTCCTTCTCCCACACAGCGCTGGGTGGGCGTCAGTGAGCCAGGCGGGGAAGGGGCTGGACTGAGTGCTGTTTGTTTGTTTGACTTTTATTTATTTATTTGAGAGCGAGCTGGGCAGAGAGATCTTCCACCCACTGGTTTGTGGCCCAAATGCCTGCAACAGCCAGGGCTGGGCCAGGTCAAAGCCAAGAGCCCGGCCGAAACTCAGTCCCGGTCTCCCACGTAGGTGGCAGCGACTGAAGTACTTGAGCTGTCACCTGCTGGCTCCCAGGGTGCACAGCCGCAGGGAGCGGGACTCGAACCCAGGCCCTGTGCTATGGGATGCGGGCGTCCTAAGCCACGGCCTAACCACTGTGCCAAATGCCCTCCTTCCCTACAAAAAAAAAAAAAAAAAAAATTTTTTTAAGATTTACTCATTCATTTGAAAAGCAGAGTTACAGGGTGGGGGTGGGAGAAAGGGGTGGGGAGAGACAAAGAGACAACAGTGCAGGGGAGAGATCTTTTATCTGTGGGTTCACTCCCCTAATGACTGCAAGCTGAAGCCAGCAGCCTGGAGCTCCATCCGGGTCTCCCACATGGGTGCAGACGCCCGAGTCCTGGGGCGTCTCCCACTGCCTTCCCAGGCGCATTAGCAGGGGCGGCATCCAGGACTTGAACCGGCGCTCGTGCGGGACGCCAGCGTCGTAGGCGGCAGCTGAACCCACTGCGCCACATCAGCCCCAAAGTGCTGGTTCCTAGCTGACGTGCAGCGTGCTGCCCCACGCGGTCTTGGCGCAGGGCTGGGTGGGGGGGTCTGTGGGGGTCACTGCTGGGCCGGGGACTGCGCGGGCGCTCCAGAAAGCCTCCTTGGGTGAATGAATGAGCGACTGGATGCACGAGGGGCCATCAGAATTAAAAGGTTCAAGTCGGCATGGAGCCCACACCGTCAGAACGTGGCTGGGTGAGGATCCCCAGCCCAGCCCCGAGGGGGGCAGCTCCAGCGACCCTCCCCTCAGCGTTCCAGGTCACTGCGGACACCATGGGCCCCCGACTCCTCCTGGCTGTGTGTCTCATCCTCCTGGTGCTGGGATGTGGTGAGTGTGAGTGGCGGGGACCGGGGTCTCTGGGGAGGGGGCGAGCACCACGTCTTCCCAGCCGAGCCCTTTGCCTGGGGCCCTGCCTCCGCCACCTCCCCCTCCCCCGTCTGTCTGCTGCTCCCGGGGCCCCACCAGCTCCCCTTCTGTACTCTCCCCCACTGCAGTGGTCCAGGGGTCCCACCTGCCCCAGAACGATGAGCCCGCCAGCCCGGCCCTGCTCACAAAGGTGCAGGAGTCGCTGTCCAGCTACTGGGACTCAGCGAAGGCAGCCGCCCAGGGCCTGTACAACAACACGTACCTGACCGCCGTGGATGAGAAAATCAGGTATCGCCCGCAGGGGACGCCCCGGAGCTGCTGCAGGGGACCGGGACCGAGTCTGGGTCTCAAACCTACACTCCGTGGGGGACTTGGCACCGGGACCGGATCCAGGAGCCCAAACCCCCGCCCCCTCCAGCCTGCAGCCCTCTCTTCTCCCCCCCCCCCCCCAGGGACATGTACAGCAAGAGCACGGCGGCCATGACCACCTACGCAAGCATCGTCACGGACCAGCTCCTAACTCTGCTGAAGGGAGACCCGTGACAGCCAGGCCCCGTGGTGGGGGAGGGGAGGCCCCACCCCCGGCCCCTGCCCCGCCCCCGCCTCCCGCTCTCCTGACCCACAACCAGGACTGCACTGAGCTGCCTGTTCCCAGCCCTGGCCTGAATCCTTCCCACTGATAATAATAATAATAATAAAAACCAGAGGCCAAGTTCATTCTCTTTGATGTGGCTGCTTTCCTGAGGCCTCGGGGGCCAAGATGGAGGGGTTCGTTCAGTCCAGATGACACTAAGTAAGCACCTACTGTATGTCTGCCGCGCTAACCCAGAATGTGGTTGGAGCAGGAGGTGACTGGCGGCGATACACCATCAGAAGGGCGACAGAGAGGCCGCTCTCTCCTGCACCCTGACCAATCACAGACACACAGCATCCGCTGTGGCCTCCGGCAGCGGCCAGCTCTGGGCTGGCGCTTGAAAGATGCCATTGACTCCTGTGGGAAGCCCAGGTGTTCTTCTGGGCTCCTGACTTTGGCCTGGTCCAACCCTGGCTGTTGCAGGCTCTTGGCGAGTGGATCCGTGCATGGCGGGTCTGCTCTCTGCCTTGCAAATAAAATGAAAAATAAATAAAAGTTTATTTTTTCTTAAATGTGGCATCGTTGTGCGGTGTCCAATACCCCTGTGACTGAGAAGACTGGCGCCCACAAGTCCCTGCTGAGCTGGCTGAGTCGGTGCCCAGCCTGGCTGGGACCCAGGAAGCTGGGCCCCTGCAGACCGTGCCCGTCAGCTCTGACACATTCGTCCCCTGGGCGCATAGAGAGACTTAGTAAGTACTGGGCCCACAGCAGGGAGCAGGTGCAGCCCCTGCCCGCACAGGGACCTCCGTCTCCGGCTGCGCAGTCTGGTTCCTTATCAGCATGGGTTGTGCCGTCCCTGGGCTAGCACCTTGGCCGGAGGCTCTCCTCCCGCTGAGGCCACACAGACAGACCTCTGCCCTCAGGCAGCCAGAGAGACAAATGAGGACGGGCAGCTCAGCAGCTGGCAAAAACAGGCATGGACGAAGGGCAGGAAGCAGGGCCTCGGGCGTGTCCGCGCTCAGCCAGGACGCGCGCCGCTCGCCAGGCTGCACGGCCAGGGTCGCTGCTGCAGAGGGTCTCTGGCTGGCAGTGGCGACTGCGGGCTCCCCGCAGGCCCTGAGCGAGCCTGGGGCTCCGCCGAGGTCCCTGTGGCTCCTCATCTGCTTTGCTCTGACCCCCGGCCAGGCTTCCAACCCCCTTGGGGCACTTTTCCCAGGTCCTGAGGCCAGGCAGCTGTGAGTCCCCTGGGGAGGGGCCGCGGGCAACGCCCCCAGGTCTCCAGAGCCTGGGAAGAACCGAGGCTGCCAAGCACACGCAGGGGGTGCCGAGGAGGGGGAGACCCTGCGGAACAATCCCTGCTCTGTGCACTTCTTTCCCACGGACTCAGGCCAAGCCAAACCACTGCCCCGGCCAGCTCTGCTTCCAGCCAATCCTGGGGCCGCTCCCAGACTCCTCCTGCGGAGCCCGCTGCCCTCAGGACCCCAGACTCCTCCTTCCTCCACTCAGCAAGGACCCCCCAGTCCTCCTTCCAAGGACCCTGGCGTTTGGGGCCTCAGCCGCTGGTCGGTGTTGGGTGCCCCCTAGTGGAGGGCAGAGTGGACTCTCCGGTGGTTTCCCAGTCACTCAACAGGCACGCAGCAGGGAACCCAGCTCCTCTGGGGCCCTGGCCCGGGTCCCTGTCTGAGAGGCATCACGCTGCAACAGATCGGGCGGTGACACCTGGAAGGCAGATCAGGGCGTTCTGTAGCCAGGACGGGATCGAGATGGGGTCACAGTGAAGCTGGGGAAGTGGAGCCTCAAAGCCCCTCGCTTGCCTGGCCTCTGTGTGGCCCTCCACTTGAACTTGCTCCAGGAATCCTGTCCTTTTAATAATGGCACTCGGGGGCCGGCGCCGTGGCGCAGTGGGTTAAGCTGAGTGGGTTAAGCTGCCACCTGCAGCACCGGCATCCCGTCTGAGTGCCGGCTCGAGGTTCGAGTCTCAGCGGCTCCACTTCCGATCCAGCCCCCCGCTCATGGCCTGAGAAAAGCAGCGGAAGATGGGCCAGGTGCCTGGGCCCTGCCACCAAGGTGGAAAACCTGGATGAAGCGCCTGGCTCCTGGCTTCGGCGTGGCCAAACCCTGACTGCTGTGGCTGTCCGGCCAGTGAGCCAGTGGATGAAAGATCTCCCACTCCCTGTAGCTCTGCCTGTCAAATAAATGAACCTTAAAAAAAGAAAAAAACACTCGGGGCTGGCACTGTGGCACAGCAGGTAAAGCCACTGCCTGTGATGCTGGCATCCCATATGGGCGCCGGTTCTTGTCCTGGCTGCTCCACTTCCGATCCAGCTCTGCTGTGGCCTGGGAAAGCAGTGGAAGATGGCCCAAGTGCTTGAGTCCCTGCACCCATGTGGGAGACCTGGAAGAAGCTCCTGACTCCTGGCTTTAGCATGGCTCAAGTCTGGCTGTCGGGGCCAGCACAGTGGCATAGCGGGTAAAGCCACCGACTGCAGTGCCGGCATCCCATACAGGCGCCGGTTTGAGCCCTGGCTGCTCCACTTCCGATCCAGCTCTGCTGTGGCCTGGGAAAGCAGTAGAAGATGGCCCAAGTCCTTGGGCCCCTGCACCTGCACGGGCGACCTGGAAGAAGCTCCTGGCTCCTGGGTTCGGATCGGCACAGCTCCGGCCGTTGTGGTTATCTGGGGAGTGAACCAGCGGACGGACGACCTCTCTCTCTCTGAAACTCTGACTTCAGATAAATAAATAAATCTTAAAGCACCACCACCACCACTCACGGCGGGCATTCTGCACAGCAGCTGAGCCTCTTGGGACGCCCGCGCCCCACCCCCTTTCAGGGACCCTGGGTTCAAGCTCTGGTTCTGCTCCCTGCTCATGCCCAGGGAGGCAGCAGGTGACGGCTGAAATGCCTGGGTCCCTGCTGCCCATGTGGGAGACCCAGCTGGAGGCCCCAGCGGCAGGCTTTGGCCTGGCCCAGCTCTGTTGGCCAGTGTCGGGAAGTGAACCAGCAGGTGGAAGATCTTTCTCTTTATCTGCCTTTCAAATAAAATGAATATAGATTTAAGAAAATTTAAACAGGGGCTGGTGCTGTGGCATAGTGGTTAAAGCCGCTACCTGCAGCGCCGGCATCCCATGTGGGCACCGGTTCGAGTCCCGGCTGCTCCTCTTCACATCCAGCTCTCTGCTGTGGCCTGGGAAAGCAGTGGAAGATGGCCCAGGTCCTTGGGCCCCTGCACCCACGTGGGAGACCCGGAAGAAGCTTCTGGTTTGTGGTTTCGGCCTAGCCCAGGCCAAGCTGTTGTGGTCATTTGGAGAGTGGACCAGTGGATGGAAGACCTCTCTCTGTCTCTCCTCTCTGCAACTCTGCCTTTCCCAATAAATGTTTTTAACAAAGACTCATTGATTATGTAAGTTTCAGCCCCACAAATCTGTCTCTTCGGTGGGGCACTTAAGCAATACGTTCGCTTTGTCCCTGGCCTGGAAGCCTGGGCCGACACATTCCCAGAACTGTAGCGCTGGGCTGGGCGAGCGGAAGCCCGGGTTCCTGCTGGCCCCTGTGCCTGGCCTCACAACGAAGGCCCCTTGGGCGCTGGGAGAGCCTTGCGCTTAAGTCACAGCGCGAACAAGACAACCCCGACTCTGCCAGTCCAACGGGGGAGGCCTGCCCACTGCGGGGGTGGGTGGGGGCGCAGAGAGGGGCCGGGGAGAGACCTAGAGGGAAGCGGAGGCGCAGGCAACGTGGCGAACAGCCCAGCACAGGTGTCGGCTGGCTGAAGTCGCTACCACCTCGGACCGCGCGCTCCGGGGCCAGGCGCTGCATTCGCGAGCTCGCCGGCTCTCCCCAAGCTGGCACCAAGGAGAGGAGCAGCAGCACCGCCACAACGCGGGCTTGGGAAGGGGGCGGGCACCGGGGCTCAGAGCGGGGGTCCCTTCTCCGGGCCATGGCCCCCAAGCCGGTAGAGGGGGTTAACAGCCCCTCTCGGCCTCTCCAGGGCAGGGGGCGCCAGCTCGAGTCCAGGTCTGCAGCGCTATCTAGAAGACGTTTAGCTAAAGGGATTGCAAAGACCACGAGGGGAGCGCGCATGCGCGGGGAGCACGTCCGCGTCTCCCGTTGGGAAACGGGGCGACCCCGGGAGCTCGGAGATGGCACAGAAAAACTCTAACCTCGGGGGACTTTCAGGATTTCGTTAGGGAGAGGAGTCAGAGGCGGGGATCCCGGGCAGAGGCGGCCAGCAGGGCTCCTTTAACGCGGGAAGGGCGTGGCTCGAGCGGGGCAGTACGGTGGCCGAGAGAGCTCAAGAACCACGGAGCAGGGCGAAGCGGGCAGGACGGCCTGGCAGGCGCAAGTAATTCGTCACGTCGGGCTAATCCGCGGCGGGCAGAAGAAGCAGAACTCTCGGGGAGCGCAGACGCTGGCCGACAAAGTCCCGGGAGCGCTTCTAGGTGAAAACAAACGGGCTACCGCGGCCTGGTTGCTCGCACAGCCGGAAGTGGCTCTCCGTCTCTCGAGGGGCGTGGCTGAGGCGCTCTCGCCGGATACGGTGGCCCCGCGGGTCGGGGCGCAGTGTGAAATCTCGCGCGATCGTGCCAGCGCCGTCGGGGACGGGGCGGGGCTGGCGGCGGGGGCGGGGACCCGGAGCGGGAAGATGGCGGCGGCGCAGGAGGCGGACGGGGCCGGCAGCGCCGTGGTGGCGGCCGGGGGAGGCGGCTCCGGTCAGGTACGGAGGCCGAGAGGGGCCTGGGGGGGTTCTTCCCCAGCCGGGGGGCCTCCCACAGGGCGTGTCCTGTCCCCTGTCGCGGAATGCGGTGCACTGGGGGCTCCTTGCCCAGAGGGACCTTGAATACCGGGCCCAGGCGGGGCCCGGCCCCCCGGGAGGCCGGACAGTGCCGGGAGCGGGGCCCTGTTGCGCGCCGGGTCCCCTGCACGCTCGCGCCGGGTGGGCCACCAAGCTGGTTGCTCGAGCCGGGGCGCCGGGGCCGCGGAGAAGCGCAGACTTGGACCCAGGCGCCCTGGGTTCTCGACTCCGCGATTCCAGGCTCCAAGGCCGTTCCGAGGGCGGGCTGACGTTCAGGGTCTCGCTCGCAGGCGCGGAGGTGTGGGACGTGATGGATGGGCGGTCTCTAGCCGCGGGTAAGGGCCCGGGCTGAGGACCCATTTTCCAGACGGGAGTCCGAGGGGCGGTGAGACAAAAGGCGCTCGCAGAAGGTCACTCGGGTTAGGTTTGCCGGAAGGCGCCCGACGCTGCCTGCCGGCGGTGGTCTGCACCGGGCTGCGTGTGCTTGTAGCGTGACCCGGACTCTCCGGGCTGCGGGTCCGGGTGCAGGTGGCGCCTGAGCCGAGCTGAGCTGAGCCGAGGCGGCAGCCACCATGCAGGCATTCGGGGAATGGATGGAGCGACAGCAAGGTGCTGTCGACCCACCCACTGGGATGTCACTGTGGGAGGCAGCTCGGGGGAGAGGAGTGCCGGCTGGGAGGGGGAGTCGGGCTGGCTGTGCGTGACCTTGGGCAAGTTCCTTTCCCTCGTGGGGCCTCCGGCTCTCCAGTGATTAACAGAGGAGTTGGACAGCAGGGCCAGGCCCTTCGTGGGCCGCCAAGATGGCTCCAGCCACGTCCCTGCTAGTGAGGGTGGTGGGAGGGGACGTGACGGACATGTCAACAAGGAGTTATAATCCTGGATGACCAAGGGGGTGACACAGTCTGTGTCCAGGGCCGGGGGAGCCCCGAGGAGCAGAGAGCAGCGCCCGGGGAGGGGGCCGGGTGCAGGGGGTGCAGCCGGGGGGATAGCCCGGCAGACCGGTCTGTATGTTCAGCATTGCCGGCCGGGGCCCGGCTCAGGAAGCGCTGGGGTGGTGTCGTCCCAGTGCCCGGCTGCTGTTGCTGGTGGCGTGGGGCGGGGAGTGGGGAGCAGCCTCCCGTTGCCAGGCAGATCTTGTCTCGGCCGTCGCTGTCCGCCTGCCTGCAGGGTAAAGTACAGAGGTTTGTGGCAGACCAGGGCCTGGCGTGGCCTGGCGCCTGTGCCTCGGCTCTGCCGGGATTTCTCGCGCTCGGCGCCATGGGCGGTGGAATCGGCGGATTCCCTGTCGGGGGCCGCCAGGTACGTCTCCAGGTGGCACGCACCCCTCCTGCTTGTGACAGCCAGCGGCCTCTCCAGGTGGTGCGGTGCCTGCGTGATGGCCGCCGCACTGGACTGGGCCCCGCGGCCACGCACCTGTCTGCTCGCACAGCGGCCCCGGCCTTCTGTCCTGGGTGCTCTGTGCTTCTCCCCTCTTTACCTGGTCATCCTTCGTCAGCATGCAGGTCTCAGGCGCCCACTCCCCCAGAAAGCCCTCTCTGGTTGGCACTGGGTCGGGGCCCTGCCCACTCTGGGCTGTCAGTGTCTGGGGAATGGTCTGTCTCTTCCACTGGACCCCAGGAGGGGTGAGCCAGGGCCCCTCAGTCAGCTCAGTCTCTTGAGACGGAGCTGGGCCGAGGTGGGGCTCCCGGGGCCCTGTGGGTCCAGGCGGCTGGGACAGGCTGCAAAGCCCCGCTCGCTCCGGCCCTGCCCAGCCCCTGTGTCCTTCCTGGATGTTCCTGGGCATTCTCTGTGAGATGGGACATGCCCTCCCCTCCCCTCACCCGTGGGGAGAGCCGGGGGACCCTCAGCCTTGAGCAAGTTCTCACCTACAGCCCAGCCCACCCCCCTTTAGCCGGGAGTGCGCACTCAGCTTGCGGCTCCGCCATTCATCCCTGCAGCTGATGCGGCTGGAGCCTGAGCTGCACGCTGGGGGCTGGGGGCTCGGCTGTGCAGTGGCCCCACCCCTTGGAGCTTGCATTCTGGGTGGGGGTGGGGGTGGGAAGGGGGAAGCATGGCGAGGGCACACAGTGACCAAGATAAAGAGGAAAGGGGCAGGAGGCGCCACAGACAGCACCAAAGCCGCGATGGGCAGAGGCAGGGGAGGTGTGTGGGAGCCGTGAAGTTTAGGGAGGTCTGGGAAGGCCTCCTTGGGGAGGGAGTCACAAACATAGCTTAGGGAAAAGCCTTTCGGGTGTCGCGGACAGCCGGTGCAAAGGCCCTGAGGTGAGAGGTGCCTGGTGTGGTGAGGGAAGAGCCAGGAGGTCCTGTGTCTCGTGGGGGGATGGACCGGGGACGAGGGCCCGAGCAGGGAGGTAGCAGGGGTGGGGAGTGCAGTGGAGACCCTGCTGGGCCCTGGAGGCCACAGTGAAGGGGGCACCATGGGACCACAACCTCTCTATCAGGGTGCAACTTGTTTATATGAATTTATTTATTTGAAATGCAGAGTTAGAGAGAGAGAGCGCGTGCGCGCCTGAGCGAGTGAGCGAGTGAGCGAGCGAGCGAGCGTGCTCTTCCATCTGTGGGTTGATTCCCAAAGGCTGGGACTGGGCCAGGCCGGAGCCAGGAGCCTGGGATTCCATCTGGGTCTCCCGCGTGGGTGCAGGGCCCAGATACTTGGGCCCTCCTCTGCCGCTGTGCAGGCGCGTTAGCAGGGAGCGGGATCCGAAGGGGAGCCGCTGGGACTCCAGCTGGCATCGCAGGCAGCTTAGCCCTCGGGGCTGCAGCGCCAGGATCGGGTGGAACTTAGAGGCCATGGGCTCACCCATCGTTAGTGGGGGTGCATGGCTCTGCCTGCCTTTATGCAGCTTGCACAGTGCACCCTGCACCCCGTGCAGTCTCAGAATGCGGTCCTCCCTCAGCACTGCAGGGGGTCAGTGTCAGCGCACCCCTGGGCGCCAGACTCCACAGCTCCTGCAGCCCCTCTGTGAGGGGCTCCTCCCCTGCCCCAGGTGGCTCGGACCTGATACAGTATCGGGGCCGCCCAGGTGGCTCCTACCTGATACAGTGTCAGGGCCCTGCAGTTGTTGCTGGGCTGTGGTATTTAGGGAATAAGGACGAGAAAAAACGCGTGTTCTGTAGGGGGCGGCCTCCTCCCAGTCTTTTCCATCCACGGTTGCTTGGAACGGTGGATGGGGAACCACGCATGTGCAGGGCCCACTGCTCCCACCCCCTCTGCCGGCTCCTGGCCCGAGGCAGCCACGGGGCAGCTTTCCATCTCTAGTTTTGCCTTTTCTTTTCTTTTTTAAAGAATTATTTTATTTGTTTTGAAAGAGGAGTTACAGTAGAGCCAGAGAGAGAGAGGTCTTCCGTTCCGCTGGTTCACTCCCCAAATGACCGCAACGGCCAGAGCTGCGCTGAAATGAAGCCAGGAGCCAGGAGCTCCTTCCAGGTCTCCCACGTGGGCGCAGGGACCCAAGGACTGGGGCCATCTTCTACTGCTATCGGAGGCCATAGCAGAGAGCTGGATCGGAAGAGGAGTAGCTGGGACTAGAACCGGCGCCCATGTGGGATGTCGGTGCTGCAGGCTGGGGCTTTGCCCGCTGCGCCACAGCGCCAGCCCCTCTAGTTTTGCCTTTTCTAAACCTTTCCTAAACCCAGACGAGCAAACCTCCAGTCTACGTCCGGCTCCTCACCGTGGCGTTGAGGTTGCACGCATCCGCGTCCCTGGCCGCGCATGCGCTCGCTGGATGAAGGAAGCTGGGTGGTTTGCAGTTGGTGGTGAGGAGCTCCCTGCTGTGAGCACCCGCAGAGGCAGGTCTTCCTGGCTCTCGGTGGCCCCCGGCCCGCCTGCTGTGTCACTTGTTAAGGAACGGCCGTATTGCCCCTGACGGCAGCGTCCACGGCTCCACTTCTCCACCTCACCCGCGCTGTGGTTGTCTGGAGCAACAGCTGACTGCGGTTTAACTTCCCTGTGAATAGGAGAAGAGCCCTGGGGTCAGCAGGTGCGGGGTCAAACCTCAGCCGGCCCCGACCTCTGTTCCTGACCTGGAGTCGGCCGGGCCTCCGGCTACCCTGACTTGGGCTCCCCGAGGAGGGGCCCCTGCACCCTGGCCTCGCTCCCCACTGGCCCTTTCCCCGTGCTTTTCCCTCTCTGTGCACCCCCCACCCCCATAGCTGCCTCTGACCCCGCCGAGGGGCTCAGCCAGATGCCCAGAGCAGCTCCTCAGGGAGGCCCCCGGGCCCCGTCCCACGTGGGTCCTGTCCCTCCCCAGTGGCTGGCACCCTCGCGGCTGGCGCTCTTCCCTGCTCTGATGCCTGGTCTGCAGGCGAGTGCCCCTCTGGTCCGAGTCTGGGTGGGCGGGCAGGGCCCATGGCTGTGTGGCCACCGCTGGGTCCTAGCATCTGGCACAGGCCTGGCCCGGCACCTTTTCATTCCCACACTCACGGGGAGGCTCTCGGGTTTGGTTCATGCCAGGATTCCCACCCGCCGTGCTCAGGTCGGGGAGGTGAGGCGACGTGCCCGGGTGTCACAGCAGAGGATCGTGAACCAGGACCGCCACCTGGCAGATGAGGGGAAGGGGTGGCTGCTGCTACAGAGCGTGGGAGGTGACAGGTGACACCTTTAACACACGTGGCCCCGGCTCCGCCTGTCTGGGGGCTGAGGTGGGCA